ATATTCCATGGTGTGTCAAGAGAAAGCATTGTATAACTATTATATACAAGTGACAAGTGGGATATTCCATGGTGTGTCAAGAGAAAGCATTGTATCACTATTATATACGAGTGACAAGTGGGATATTAAATGGTGTGTCAAGAGAAAGCATTGTATAAATATTTTATTTACTCCTGAAAAAATCACCTAGGCAGCAATGCCTCATAGAAAGGAATGAAGGAATACTACTGAATAAACAACAGCTTTATATATTCTGATTGGCTGTATTTTTAACTGTGTGTTTTTAATTCAAGTTAAAACTGTGCCCTGACCCAGGGTACATGATCAAGAATTGTTCGGCTTGACGTCAAGCTTGGTACAAGAAAGTATCAATGTGTTACCAACCTTAATTCAGCACTCGGACTAACAGGTTCTTTAGTTGTACCAGCTTGCTCCTTCATAGATGCATTTACTTCAGCATTTCCCTCCTCTAGTTGGGAAATTGAAGCTGTTTTAGCAACTAGTTCCCTTGCATCAGGAATTTGTTCTTTCTCTTCAAAAGGTGGTCCTGAGTGCACATCAACAGTGACCCTTATGTCTGGTGAGCTTTTTGGACTCAATTTGGACTCCGTTTCTTCATTGTTTTCTGAGGGTTCAATGTTGACAGGCACTACTGGTGCAGCCCCTTCCGTGTCACTGCTATCTGACGGAACAGGCGACAAGGCTGAAAACTCTACATGACGTCCAGAGGAATGCATTCCAGCAGTGTGCCGCAAAATAAACGGACTTGTGCTACTCTTAGGAAAACTTCGTGTCTGTTTTGATCGGGGCGATATTCTTGAAGATGAACCCACGCTGACAGATTCGCTGACAGATTCCCTGTCCATTTTCTCTCGGAAAAGCTTGTGCCGCCTCTGAGACGCACGGAGAGCTTCTTCAACAGATGTGACTGTAGAAGCTTCAGAGTTTGTTCGTGTTCTGTCGGCACTGCTTATGGATGTTGATCGTTTCTGTCTCTGCTCCTTGTCTCGCTTTTCCCGCAATAAACGACCGATTGTCTTAAAAGCCACTGCAACAGAGCGAACTACACTAGCTGCCTAAAATAGACAAGTGAATAGGGTTAAGAGCTGGGTTAAGTTGATAAATTGATCACTACTTACATATATATTACTACATAACATATTGGAAGTATAAACCTTCATAGAACAAACTAGACACAAAGACAATAATCAAGAAATATTTTTCCATTCAACTATATTTATTCAAGTATTGAATTATGGATTATGTGTACATATCTGAAGTTATCCCTTATTAATAATTTCAAATGTAAACAAAGCTATTTGAAATACTAATTTTAAGTGATAAACAAGGTCTTATGATCTGAAGTTGATCTATTTGACTGGCTTAACACTAATAAAATAATATTTAATACTTGATATTGCGCATTCTAACATTCTAAATATGATCGGGTGCACATAATATGATTGAGTGCGTATAATATGATTGAGTGCGCATGCTCAGTCACTTTTGTGACTGAGAAGGTAAGACATATAAATATGAGATATGCAAAACAAAAGACAGTTTATTATCTTGGATAAGGATATTCTGAAAACTAAGACGAGGTTAAAAATTCTGGACAACAACTCTCCGACGTAGTCTCAACAGGATACTGTTATGGAAATGAATGCATAACAACAATATGAACACTCAAGCTGACAGATCCTATCTAACATGTTTTTCTTTTGTTTTTTTTAGAAATGACTCAAACTTACTCATCTGTTTCATACTTTTTTGTTGTGAGTCATTTTATTAGAATTTATTATTATTATTTATTAGAATTCCAATTTAATTTTCTTTTATTTGATAGCATAATAGGCTGTAATAATAAACTATTAAAAATAAATGATAGACTAATACACTGATACCTTTTACTAATTAGTCAACCAAGAAACAAAAACAGAAACTTTTTTAGCCAAGAAAATGAAAAATAGTTTAAAATATTCAAAAAATATTTTAACATAAAAAATAAAAAAAATTCATTAACATTAGTTGACTAGCACCTGGTTCAAGCTCTATTATTCATTTGTAAAAACGGTCTGAGGAATTTCCAGGGCATCATCTTGTGAAGAGAGATAAGGCCCTGTCCACACGTATCCGGAAATTTTCGTATCTGCAAATATTTTTTTATGGATACGGGTTGCGTTCACAAGTGTCCGCAAATTTTTGTGTCCATATCCGCAAATTTTACAAAAAACAGATACGTGTGGACTGTGAAAACGATTCAATTACGCTGCGTGTGGACGAAAACATTTTCATATCCGTAAAAAATAATTTGCGGATACAAAAATTTCCGGATACGTGTGGACGGGGCCTAAGTGTGTTCATTAGTAGTTTTAAAACCACAGGTGATGAGGACTAAGAAGCATCTAGCTTTTGTGGTGGTTGTAAAAGAGCTATAATTGGTTAATACTGTATCCTTATCAAAAAAGATTTCAGAGAGAGTTACTGTAGTGTTGTTTTATCTAGAGGTATTTGATTTGAAAGAAAATCCTTCATGTTTTATCAATAACTTCAAACAACCACTGGGCTGATCAAAGTCAAGGAATGGCTAATTCACAGATAAGATTGGGATTTAGTGTGTTTAGCGGAGGGAGGAAACTGGCAAACCAGGAGAGGATCTCTTGAATCACAGAAAAGATCTAACATCACATAACTCTGAAGTGACAATTTTTTCTTAAGACTGATTGAATAATCATTTTATTTAGTTATTCAAACACAATTTTTATAAGAAAAATACCAAAACTTTAGTGGTATTTGGTATAAGGTTTCTGGTCTGTTGCAAAGGTGTAACTATATTTCAGTGTTTATGAATCATCATCATAATAATGATAATAACTTAATACTTATAACGCACATTTTTCATGATGAAATGATCAAGTGTGCAAATCTTATCCTATCATATCTTATCTTACACAAGAATTATTTCAGTGACTATGCTGAGTTTTGCTACTACTATAGCAGAGTTCGTTTTTTCAAAGGAAGGAAGAGAATATGTTGCAGCAAGACACTGAACTAAACAGATGGAATTTAATTCATGTCAAAAATCTGGCCCAAAAACTATAAAAATTAAATATCTTCAGCTTTGAAAAGCTGATTAGAGGATTTGAAGCACTGAAGTCAAAAGGATTAAACTCACTTATGCAAATTTTCAAAACCCCTTATTTCATAATTAATTATCAGGAATAGATCTGAGGAAAACATGTGCCAACTTTTATAAACATGTTTCGGCATTCTTTGTGGAAAAGTGGAGGGTACTTCAATATGCTTATTGTTTCTAAGAGAGCTTTATATGCATGTAGTCATGTTTATGCGACCCAAAGAATTTCAGTCATAGCACATTTTAAGTTTTTGGTGGAGACATTTAATAATTATAATGGCTTTTATTTAAACATGATCATAAATTACAGCGTTGCTGATGTGGTCGTGTATCTAAAACACTATGAAGAAACATAAATTGTTTTTAAGAATCCCAACTGGCAAGGAGGCAAACTAGTTGGCTATTTACAAGCATGGTCAGGAAACAATTTAGGGAAAAATTTAGGAGATTCTGAGCTTGCAGGATTCAAGATAATAACAAGAGTATTAAAAAAATCTTAATAGCTAAACTTAAATAAAACTATAAACATACTGCTTATGAGCATTTTTTTGATAACTGACAAATGGTAAAAAAAACTCTCAATTGACATTTCTGGGGACATCTGGCAAGCTGATTCAAACTATAGGCAAATGAACTAAAGTATAAATATATAAAAACTTTGAAAAATAGTTGTTGTTGATTTGTATAGATTTGATGGTTATTGATAATAGTGAAATTTTGTTCAAAAAATCTATTGGGTTATAAACGTTTTTTTGGGTGTTTTTTTTCTCTACAGGAAATCAAGTTTTGAGTTTTTGTGTAGAATCTAAAAAAAAAAATGAGAAAGAAAGAAAACAAAATGGAGAAATGTAGTAGTGTAGGGGAAATTTGATGAATATTTTGTCATCCTTTTTCACTATTTTGCTCAGTCTGAGGGAACTACTGATTGTACAACCATAAATAAATTATTCAATCCAGACACGTGAACTATGGATAATTGTTTTGGTAATCAATTGTCGAATCAAATACATGCGTAGCAGATTTGATGAGATTCAAAAGCAATCAAAACAACGACAAAAAAAAAATTGAACGTTTGGATAATTTTTATCGATGTTAATCACTTCACAATGATCTTTACTTGAATCTTAATCACTGGAAAAACAACTAGACAATGTGTACAATGAACCATGACAAATGAACCGACTTCCAAGTGACAGGAATGCATTACACAAGTAAACTTGTTGTTGTGAAATGATTTTCGAAAACAAAAGATCGCAATACAGTATGTACATTTCATAGTAAATTTCCAGAATCGAACGTCCGATCGCGTCGTTCGAAAAATCCAACCTTGCGATAGGATAATAATAAGAATCAATCTTATACGGTATAATAGTACGTTTATCGTTTGAGGCTATATCAATGAACTTGGAAAAACAGGAACCTTATCAACAACGTTGAAAGAAATCCTTCATTCAGAACGCGTCGATTCGTGAATTTTGTACATGGTATTTTTTACCTTTTTTCATTCCTGTTTTAGAGATCATTATAATTTTAAGCCCTGGCTAAACGAGGAAACATGTATCCCAAAAGATGAGAATTTTATGAAAGATCCAGATCTAAACACAATAAAATTATATATACCCCGGGGCGACATTTCAGCCTACAACAACACTATAGAGTAGCATGTTATAAAAACACGGAATAAAGTTTAGAAGAAAAAAATAATCATGTAATGTTAGATACTATTCATAAAGATGGACTTGGCAATATAAGTAATAGCTATAATTAAATAGATGAATGATCTGCATTGGGATAAAAAAGTAGCGGATTGATTGTGTAGTAAATGGCCGTATCAACAACTCACCTCTAAACAGGATCCTGCTTGGAAAACATGGCACATATGCGTTCTCTTTCTCGTAATATTTAAAGCAAAACAGTTATCAAATCCACGGAGTTGTTCCTGGGCACATAGAGCTATAGCATAAAGCGGAGCTGTTAATAATAACGCGTTGGATTCAACACAACTGACTTTAAGAATCCCATCTCTGATAGTAAAATCCACTCTCATTGCACGTAGTTGTTGTTTCTTCACTCGTTTTAAAGTCTCCGAGAGAATTTGAACCGACTGGGCTTCAGAAATCGCAGAAGAACCTACAAAATCCACGATAAAGTGTAGCATTTCCGCAGACGTTTCTTCTGAAATTTTTTGTTCACTTAAAGATGAAGTTTGTGACGATCCATTTAGAGTACTGTCTGGCGTTCCTTCTCCAACTCGAAGATGGATTGCAGATTCATCACCTTCTTCACCAGTCCCGACATTTTCACCTCCTCTATGCCATCTTTCCCTCAACCTTTGTCTAAAAGACAGCATACTTTAGCTACTTTAAGCCCATTAAGCACTTCACCACGTATAAAGTTGTGCGTAGCGAAAACTTTTCACTCATTTTTGACTCTTTCCGGAGTTCGTAAACAACTTTTCAGGCAGGTTTGTTCACGTATTCTCATCCAATCCTCTCAGACTGATGAAGATTGGACTTTTTCCCCGCCTCTTGAAGAGGCGAAGCCCAGTAAATTAGCCTAATTCTGAGACAGACATCTTCATAGATGATCCAAGGAGACTATAAAGAGCCAGGAGTTAACTATTTACGTCAAAATCAAAGAGAATTTCAAGCAGATTCCAAATTAACTGTTAACATTGACCATGCTTGGAAAACATTATGCTAATCAGCTAGTATACGTTCTTACCATTGGTTAATATTGATCACGTGGGGCAATGAAAATGACCTCAATATCGCGGGAAAGTTTGTTTTTGAAATAGAAATTTATTGAGACTTTGTTTTCAATGAAGTATTTTTAATCCATCTTCTTTTTTTAAATTTTATATCATTCGGCGTTTTTTATTTACAGAGACAAATATTACTGTAAATATTTGTACTTTATTTCTGTCGTCTCAAAAGCTATTCAATGATTAATGCTGCTGCTGTCATTGTTGCTACTGTTTGTTGTTGCTGCGGATCTTATTTCTACTGTTTTTATTGCTAATTTTGCTGTTGCTACTGTTATTTTTGCTGGCATTTCTGTTGCTCTTATCCTTGCTGCGACTGTTGTTTCTGCTGTTGTTATTGCTGCTGCTGTTGTTGTTGTTGCTACTGTTGTTGCTTTTGTTGCTGCTGTTGTTGTTGTTGCTGTTGTTGTTGTTGTTGCTGCTGTTGTTGCTGCTGTTATTGCTGCTGTTATTGCGGCTGCACTTGTTATTGCTGCTGCTGTTGTTGCTGCTGTTGTTGTTGCTGCTGTTGTTGTTGTTTTTGTTAATCAGTTATTTTTTAGACAAATCAAGACTAAAGATAAAACAATTCTTGCATGGATTTATTCACAATGTTGATGCCACTTTTAGAAAAATAATTTTATCCAAACATGTCACACAATAAATTCAACCAATAGTTGGTGCACAACTGTCACACAGTTTTACCAAATAGTGAATAAAATGTTCCAAATAGTTGTGACTATCACGCATTCCACCTTAGACACTAAGTACCAATGGAGCAAATGAGATTCAAATTTACTTCAAAAAAGGCAGTCTTTATGTTGGCATTGGCCTCTTTCATTAAGGAAAGGTATGTTTTGTATTAAAGGGGGTAAGGGGTGGG